CACTTTCTGGACTTACTGGGCGTATAGTGTACGATTGTATATCTCCAGCTCGAAACATAATTTTTATCTTGACAATTGTGTAGCATTACTGGCGCAAGCCCTAAAGGTTTAAGGGATATGCAATTCAAGATCCAAATTCAAATAAAGAAAAGACGTTGTCACGGTGGACTAAATTGATACTGGTATGGGTTAGACAGTTTCGACAGCAGCGCTTGTCCAAAAAAATTAGTCAGTTGTGAGCAACATGGATTTTGTATGTCACTTTGACGAGATCCAGTACAAGTATACTCGAGAGTATCCGAGGAGATTTTATAGCCCAGTCACAGAAGATCTGGGGTAGTTCTACGAAACTTTCTCCTATTGGGAGATCTAAGGTTAAGCCAAGGAGAACCGATGTATTTGTATATAGCATAGCTGGATCGATCCTATCACATTTTTACTCATGATTGCTAATTTTACTGATTCTACAGCTGTTACGATTTCATCCAGTAGGGATACAAAGAGATTCGAGTTAGTCCAAGAACAACTGAAGAGATCCAGTAACTTTCAATGAGCCCCAAGGATATCTGAACCTCGACTAGATTGCTGTTACGAGACAGCGACATTGTTGGTATTTCGATTTTGAAAGGATTGTTTGGGTGGAACTGATGCCGATTAGCAACTACTTTGTCCAACCAAAGATTGAAAAACCCTAAGTGAGATGTAAGGCACGTATACATTTTGTTACCGTAAGGTCTTAGGGGCCAGATGGGACTGAGATTGGGAAGTATTAATAGCTCTGCAATTGTTAAGTCGGTAAATTGTACAAACGTTGGGCTGTTGGGTCTTTGTGTGCCCTTCCATAACACGAGATCGCGATTGACCCATGTTATGTTTTTAAGATTAGGTGATCCGCCGTTGTCCCGTTTTGTGGGGCAACTGGCGCTTCAATGGCGAATTTGCCGCTGAGTCGCAATAAGAATCATTGACAACTCGAAGGAATCGGTATCATTGGATCAAATTAGCAAAGGAACGAATTTGATTGGGTACTCTTGGAATCTTTAAACAATGCCCAATGTCTTATTGATAATTGTGGAAAAGTTTTGGATATTTAGAGAGTGTTCTTTTATACCACGGAACGCAGTCGGATCATTCGTGACCCGTCGTCCGGTTTCGTGGGATAACTCGCGTCCCAGTAGCAGCAGAGTTTACAAAATTCGTTAACATCCTTGATGACATGTCTTATAACTTACGAGAACTGCGATTCAAGTTGAGAAAACTACAAGGTAGGAATCAAAATATAATGATTGATTCAGCCAAACGAACTGTTTGGCCCAGTTCTATCTCGCTCTCATCCACAAAACATACAACTCCATTACAGCAATTACTAACGCCGCCGCCACCGGTTTTTGCAGAAGCAGCCGCCATTACCGATTGCCGGTCGGCACGGAATACTCACCGTTCATTTTAAATTTACCACAATTCGCACAGGCATAGGCTGGATGTGACAGTCTAGCAATTCACTTTAAATGTACATACGTGGCTATTGTTTGGAAAGTATTGAGCAACGAATATGGTAAAAGTGATGCTTTGGAACATCTACGCATTTGCTCGATTGGTCTGTACAAATTCATGTTGGTAGAAACTACTGGTTGAACATAGACATACTAAAGACAATTTAAGCAGTACTTTTATGTAATATGCTTTTTATATGGCGAATAAACCATTATATGTATATGGCCACCAGGATTGGGGGCATCAAGCGGTCGTGGTGACGGCTCGGCTGTCGACGCGAAATACCCTTGCAGTTCCAATAAGAAGCTGCTATTAACTTTCGCAGTGGTCGATTCTGATGGTAGTCAGCTGCTACCAGTACTTGTGTATTTAGACATACTTTATACATCTGATAGACGATATTTTGCAATCCATTCGTTGGTCTACTATACCTGAAGACTTATCAATCAGCGTTGTACAGGGATGGTCAGCAGGTTGGTCGGGCGAACTAAAGCAGTTTTATAAATATAAAGTTTTTTACGACAAATGAGTTGTGCTTTAGTTTCCTAATAGATGCCTCTTAGCCATGAGGCTTATGATACTCTCCCAGTTACAGATAATACACGGAATCTCTTGATTGCAACGACAATCCTTTGGTTTATGCCCCTCTGGGCCCAGCTGCCTTTGCAAGTACCGAGTCGGTCTTCCTTCCTACATTTTTTCTCTATCTCTGTTTTCACCTTTTCCCGGATCAGTCTCTGTTCAATATGTTCCCTGACGCATTTGACTTTCAACCACCATGTGCTATTTTAAATGCAACGGCGTCACGTGATTCCTGTCACCCAAACCTCATTCTGAAGTAACGGCCATACAACTCTGTGCAAAAGAGCTAATAAGGAATGATACTGCAAATCAGTCGATAGCCATTTGCTCGGATGGCCAGGCAGCCATGAAGTCATTAAGTTCACCGCGAATATCGTCTAAACTAGTATGGGATTGCGTAAACACTCTCAAAGAGCTGAGCAACCGAAAGAAGGTAACTTTGCTCTGAATACCACAGGAAATGAGAGGTAGAAAGGAAATGAAAAGCCGGATGAGCTAGACCAGAGTCTTTCGAGAACACGCACCAAACAGTCCATAAGAAATGGGACCAAGAAAAAGTGACTAGAATGGTGGAACCGCCAATTGCGGCAAGGCAGGCAAAAGAGTTCATCAAAGAACGAAGGCCCGCTTTTACAGAGGACCTACTCAGACTCAACAGGAAGACATAGTGGGTCTCCTGACAGGTCGCTGTCATGCAAATCGACATGAGACTCATGGGTCTGCCAGAAGAGGCCACATGCCGTTTTTGCAGAGAGCTACATGCAAGACCCTGTGTCCAGGCTATGGCATCTGATCGAAGGAAAGGATCAAGGCTGGACACAGTAGATTCCTTTTGATCTTCCTGCAGATCAGACCAAGATAATCAAAGATAGTTGTCTCTGTTTTTTCGTATTTACTACCCAGAGTCTTGATACACTTAAGAGTATGCTATATCACAGTACCAAACAAAAATCCAACTCGCAGTTCTATTCTTCTCAAACTTCAAGGTCCTGTTACGTCGCAATCCTTCCACAGCATTATTTTGGATTGAGTGCTGTCCACAATTTTGCTCCAACTCTTCCAACTACTTTACGAGCACTTTCATTAACTCCTCACCATAAACTGCTTCTTTGTCTTGACATCCTCGAGAAAATCTGTGCTTGTATCCAGACATAACCTTTCACACATTTCCCGCTGGCAGTCCCTAACGGAATATTCCTTGTGTAAATGCTATATGTATCTTTCGAAAAAATACCGACATTGAAGTATCATTCACCATTAACGAGTAACACATTTAGAGTAACCCTTTTAAAAACAAAAATATGAAAATAATCAACTTTAACGAGTTATCGTTATGGAAAAAACATTCTTGGCGTCATGTTTTTAAAGATCATTGCTTCCAAATGTAGGTTTTTACTGCGCTCCATGTGGTCCATTGACGAACTTCGACTTTCGATGAAGGATATGAACATTTCGAGTGGTATTTGACGACCGTCACCGCTCCATGGCAAGACAACATTTTCAGCCCGCAGTTTAAGTTCATGACCTCACCGATTAAGTTTTAACAAGTCGGCGGAGATCTAGTTGTAGCACAATCAGCGCAGCGATGGTTCTGCGACAACTCTCGATTGGGACTGTTATATTGGACGCCTAGAGCGCGTGATGTCACACTTCTGTCTACATGAGTGAGACAGTGCGATTAAGCAATTATACAAAAGGATTTTGTACAGCAATTTTCAAAGAACAAATATCACGGATGCTTCTATGATTCTTTATTAAAACTTATCCGGCACGATGCATTGTCTTTATTTTTCATCTACTTTTATATATTATATCTAGTCACGCTGTACTGAACTACTTCTGTCAAGTTTTTTTTACAACAAGTAACTAAAGCAAAGCCATTCCCTCTGCGCTTCCACAGAATAACGTAGAAAGCAATAACATGGAATGTAAATCCTCAGAGAGGAAGTACTCTTAACAAATAATAACCCTGCCTCTCCGAATATAAAACCTGGAAGAATATTTTTATCCTTTCGCAGATTAAATCAGAGCAGAAGCTTAGGAGTTGGCAAAACTCCTGCACGTCTTTATTACATACGTTGATATTTTATTAACTTGGCTGCACCTGAGATACTCATGCTTAAGGTACGTCTATACTGAGAGTAAGGTAGTAAAAATTAATATTTCCTAATGAATTGAGCAAAGCGTACTAATCGTTAATTGAAAAAAATATTCCAGACGTATAGCCGTTCATCTGGGTTAGAAAATCATTTGCATGCAAACAGCAAACAGCATTGATGCAGTGGTGGTCAAGCATGAGACCTATCTCAGTGCCACGAGATTGGGCAACCCGAGGGGATCCCAGGCAATTAAAACAAATTGTGCATCCATTTTAACGTCAGCAGTTCCGAGCTAGCAGCCGTTGCAAGTGTATACTTGCACGACTGCGACCCACCCGGACATATTGAGCAATCTTATTGCGATTTTCATTGCGATAGATTGGTTGTTTGCCATCTACGATGGCGAAAATTGAGAAGCTGGCTAACCAGCTGAAGGAGAAGAAAGATGCTTTCGCCATGCTGGCAGAGCAAATACGAAACCGGCAAGAAGCCTTCTTGCAGGCACAACAGGAGATCGAGGACCTGAACGGGAAGCTCCGCAGGGCCAAGAAGAAGGCCGCAAAGAAGACCGAAGAAGACGAGGAAGAGGACCACCAGGCTACGTCGGACGAGATGGACGCGCAAGAAGAGGACACCCAACGGACCGAAGAGGATAGGCCTACGACAGGGACAGCAAACAACGACGACACCGATTTCAGTGTCGCCACCAGACGGAGGAAGCGGGTGCGAGTTTCCTCCTCCGAAGACGAGACGCCAAGGCAGCCAAAGATGCCAGCTGCCGCCACCAAGAAGGATCCTAGAGCAGCCAGGACCACCGTGCCCCCCATGTCGGGAACAGGAGTTCCCCCCATCAGCATCGAGGGCACTGCTGACTGGTCATCCTTAAGCAGGATGATAAACAACAGGGGGATCCAATTCTCCAAGGCGAGGACGGCGGGTAACAGTGTGAAGGTGTTCACAAACACACCAGCTGACTACCGTCAGCTAGTCGCACTGCTCGACTCCATCAAACGGCCCTTCGTCACCTATAAACTGAAGGAGGACAGGATGGACCAGAGGGTCATTCGTGGACTACCCAGGGAGATGTCAGTCAATGACATCAAAGAGGATCTAGTGAGCCAAGGCATCGCAGACGCCGAGGTTCAGCAGATGACCTCAAGGACCACCAAGAAGCCACTTCCGCTCTTCCTCGTCATGACGAAGATGCCGGAAAAGCTTCTAGAGATCCAGAGGCTGGCCATGCTCACGGTCAGCTTCGAGAGAAAGAAAAAGTCCACCGAGCCCAGCCAATGTTACCGCTGCCAGCGGTACGGACACACGCAGCGAAACTGCCGTCTCGCTGAACGGTACGTAAAGTGTGGTGAGGACCACAGCAGCACCAACTGCAGTCTGCCGACGCCGCCAACAGGGCAACGAAATGCCAAATGCTGCCTTTGCGAAGAAGGACACCCAGCAAACTAGAAAGGATGTAGTAAGGCCCCGAGGAAAGCTGCTGCTGCCCCCAAAGCAGTCCCCACCACAAATAGGACCTCTTACGCTCAAAAAGCGAAGAATACTATGTCCACTTCTGCCCCAGCAGCCGCCACTGCTACTGGAACTACTGCGCAGAAGCAACACTGCGATGACAGACTGCTAGCAATGATGCAAGGCATCATAACCCGCCTGGATGCACTCGAGGCCAAGATGGAAGACAACCATTAGACCCGAAATGACTACAGGACAAAACGTAGAATCTCTACGCATTATCTCCTGGAACATCAACGGATTCAGGGCACGGAAACCAGAAATCCAGGAGATACTAGACCAGTACCAACCAGAGGTGATGGCCATCCAAGAAACGAAATTGGATGCTGCCCATAGTCTGACGTTCCCGCGGTACGAGACGTACCGCTACGACAGAAGAGGCAGAGGTGGAGGAGTCGCATTACTCGTAAAACGTACCTCGATGAGTCATGTCCTCGACGACGCCGCAGACATCAATGGGGACGGAATCACGCCAGGTCCATCACAACCACCGTCCCTACAGAATCACCTCCCTATATGTGCCACCAGGGGAGGCCCTAGACGAAGATGACATCGCTGACTTCCTGAGAGGCCCAGGAGCACGCATAGTCATCGGAGATCTAAACTGCAAGTCTCCGGCATGGAACAACCACGTCGAAGACAGGAATGCAAGGCAGCTCCAAGAACACGTCGATGCCCTGGCGGGGGTCATCGTCTGTCCGGAGCAACCAACCTACATTCCATTCGGCCTTGGGCGACCTGCGGTACTGGACATAGCCATCCTCCGCAACATCAGAGAGGAGTTCGAGATAGAGACCCTGGTGGAAGGATCGTCGGACCACAATCCGATCCTACTAACACTTGGCACAGGGTCTAGAACTCGAGATAGCTTGAGCACCAAACGGATGAACTGGAACCTCTACAAATCCAACGTCCAAAGGAACATCACACAAATTCCAACCATCCGATCAGCGGAGGAACTGGACAACGCAGTAGAGGAGCTGGAGAATGCTGTCCTGCGAGCGCATGAGGACAGCACCCGCTTCGAGACTACGGCAGTTCCTAGACACCTAAATGGTCCAGCACCGCACCATATTAGGCACCTGATCAGGGAGAACAGAAGACTCAAGCGAGAACATCTCCAGCTGTTGACAAAGCAGTCGAGAGTTGCGCGAAACAGAGCATCGCTAGCTCTGAAGAACGCACTCGCGGAACTCCAAAACAGCAGATGGAATGCAGCCTGTGCAGAACTAGAGACCCAGGATGGTACGGCCTGGACTATGCAGCGAAAATTTCGTCGTCAGCGCACCACGATCCCCACTCTTCACGGCCAACGCGGCTTGGCCTGTTCCAGTGAAGAAAAAGCCGAAGCATTCGCCGATTCGCTAGAATCCGAATGCAGACTCAATTACCATGAAGACGAGGACGATAACCACGAGGAGGCCGTGGAAGTCGCAGCCGAAATCATGAGGAGTCGACCACCTGGCCAGGAGACGGATCACCCCTCCAGTCCAGAGGAAATCCGTCTGATCATCCGCAGGTTGAAGGTCAGAAAGGCGCCGGGAAGGGACGGCATCAACAACAGGATGCTGAAGAACCTTCCCTCCAAAGGCATTGCTGCGCTCACCAACATCGCCAATAACACTCTGAGACAACCACTTCCCGCGGCGGTGGCGGCAAGCCCAGGTTATAATGCTCACCAAGCCAGGCAAGGACCGGAAGTTTCCCCAGAACTACCGGCTCATCAGCCTGGTTTCCTCGATGGGCAAAGTAGTCGAAAAGGCTATCGCCGTTCGACTAGAGAAGCAGGCAGAAGAACTGCAACTTCTCCCCCCAGAGCAATTCGGCTTCAGATCCTCCCACAACACGGAACTCCAAGCGCTACGACTGATAGAAAACATCACCAACGGCTTCAATATGGCAACCGGCCTCGTCCTGCTGGACGTGGAACGAGCCTTCGATCGAGTTTGGTACGATGGACTCATCGCCAAAATGAAAGCCGCCGGAATCGATGCAAACATGTGCCAACTGATCCAGAGCTATCTAACACAAAGATGGTTCACGGTGAAGATTGGTACATGCCACTCAACAAGACGACAGCTGGAAGCAGGCGTGCCTCAGGGGTCAGCCTTAGCCCCCCTGCTCTACAACATCTATACTCACGACGTACCGAAGACAGCTGACACAATGCTGGCCCTATATGCAGATGACACTACTATAGCCGCCAAGCATCGACGACCCGAGATCATCCGTAGGAGACTACAGGATGAACTGGACCACATCCAGGACTGGTGCGTGAAATGGAAAATCCGCATCAACGTCCAGAAGACGCAGGCAATCTTCATCCAACGAAGAAGGATTGCAATACCTCTCGAAGCATCCATCTTCGACGAAGATATCCAGTGGAGCGACAAAGTCAAATATCTGGGGATCGTATTTGACAAGTCCCTCACCTGGAAAGACCACATAGAAGCTGTCATCGCAAAGACTAGAGCAGCCATGGCTGAACTCTACCCATTACTGGGTAGACACAGCCGGATGCCGCTAGCGACCAAGCTACGGCTGATCAAGGCCATCGCCAGACCTCAGCTCGCTTACACCTCCGCGGTCTGGGGGTACGCTGCTCCCAGCTACCGCAAGTAACTTGCTGCTCTAGAGATGAAGCTACTCCGGATCGCCACCAATGCACCATCCTACGTAAGGAACTCAACCTTGCGTAGAGACCTGCATTGGGACACCATTCACGAGTACATGAGGAAAACAGCGGAGAAGACCTTTCAGAAAGCTCAGGACCACCCGAACGAGCAGCTACGATTCCTCATGGACTACGATCCGGACGAGAGGCCTCGCAACCGCAGAACCAGGTACCCTAGACAAAGGTCCCAGTTGGCACCCGCTAACTGGAACCTTGAGTAGGAGACTAGGAGAACCCGCGGTTGCTCCCCCCCCCCGCGGCGTGGATGCAGAGGACCAGGAACCACCGGGACCAGGACCCACCGGAACCAGGACCAACCAGGACCAGGACCCACCAGGACCAGGACCAGGAACAGTATATAGGTAAGAGGACTTGAAACTCTTGATTTTTCTCATTGAAGAATAATCATTTTCTACCTATTTGGAAGTTATCTAGGGTTACCCTTGTTTTTAAAAAAGATGAGAGGAATTATGTAAAAAACTATAGAGCTATCATCTGTAACTTTGCTAAAGCCTTCGAAATGGTAATTCAAGCTGCGTTGCATTTTCATACGCACAGGTCTATCTTTGCCAATCAACATAGTTTCATGAAGGGCAGAATCACAATTACTAACTTGTTACATCTCACTCAGTATGTTTGTGAATCTGTGGATAGACAACTTCCAAGGGATCTAATAAACACCTATCCCTCTAAAGTATTTGACAGCTCAGATCATAACATTCTCCTCAATAGGTTATCTAGATTTGCTCGTTCAGATTCAGAATTCACTATTACTATTTTTCAAATCTTATTTATCTGACAATGAACATTACGTCATGTGCAATAGACATGTCAAGCGAATGCCGTGGTACGACTACGTGTGAAACTTTTCCGTAGAGTATCTGATATTGAAGATTGTCGTCGCTTACCATGCAACACTGTAAAGGTTGAAAACTGGTGCTGTTTAAATAGATTAATTCTGCATGCTCCTAAGTGTTACGTTTTGTCGTTAAAATCAGACGAAATGATGTTTACATATAGTATTGGTGAAATGAAACTTGACAGATCTAATACAATTTATGACTAGCGTCTCAAAGTAGTGTGACTTAGCCAGAACTTTAATACTTAAGTGTTCTTCTATGTAACATATATAATAGACCTGTACTTATATTACAGTTAAAAGCGTTTTAGATATATTTTCGTTTTGTTATACTTTGGGAGACAATAATACTTGTTTTCGTGAATTCTTGCCTAAATGTTCCCGGTTTGATGGTTGTGTGATTCGTAGGTAAGGCTAGAACGCTTTTTTCCTCAGAGTTCTGTTTTAAGTTTTTTCAGCGTTCCAGCTTTCTCTACATCACACCCCCACTTATATTCATTGTTTATGCATCCTGTAATTGCCTGTTGAATGTTGCTAAATAAATAAATAGATAAATAAATAAATAAATATATATATATATATATATAAATACATGAATAAATAAATAAATGCATGGATAAATAAATTTAATAAATAAATCCAAAGCAACCCAACGACATCGAGGAATTTCTTCTTCAAAACAGAATGTCACGCTCCTTGGGGAGCTGCCGATGTTTGACGCGTCTCGTGATGTTAGTCGGATAATTTTATGAATATATTTCCACACGGATCTAAATATCTCTGTGGTGGTTTGAAGGAATCTGAGCGGATGAGAGATTTTGTTCCAGCGAAGTGTCGGTGGTCACCTAACTCGGGGATTCATGTGCTAAAGTGATTATAACGTAGGTTCAGGGACTGTTTGAGCGATTCTTCATTTCGCTACCAGTCAAGCAGTTATAGAGACGTTAACATCTGTATCTAATCCATAAGCTCGTCATGTAGTTTTGGGTATCTTCTTTATCTGTTGTACACTCTTAATACCAATTGAAAAATGCTTAAAGAATGTCAAACGATACTCTCATGTAAGCACTGATATGCGTTTGTAAATCACTTGGTAATGTAGTACCGTACATAGTAATGGAATGTAGATTGACAGATGAAATTTTACTATAGAAAAAGGTGAAACTTCATTTTCAGAAGAACGCCTAAATTACTTTGATAAACACAGGACAATTTTTGGGTGTATCTTATGTATTTGAGACCCTTAAATCAAATCTAAAAACAGAGTTTTTCTATCACCCACAGATATTCGCTAACATCCGCTTTTCCGAATCACAATATAATGTTAAAACCTGTCTATTCCTGTTTATTATATGCGATGTTTAGAGAGCATATTGCGTTTATTGTACTGAGATGCTCTGAGTA